GGGGGGGGGGGGGGGGGGGGTGCAGTGACAAATTCATACACAAATCAAACCAATCTAAAGTTACTTTTACCATAAGACTAATGACTTCAACCAGAAAATTAGGATAATTTCCCAGGAGAAAGGAGGTATTGCATTTTAACATGTTACAAGCTACCAGGGTTTCAAACTTTAAAACAACTTTTTCTTATAACGAGGAATGCCTCTGGCAGGGCCACATTAGACTTTACTCATGCAAAGTAATTCCCAAATACTTGCACTCACCCACAGGTATCGTTTAAACCCGGAACTTAGGACATCTCAACTTCCCATTCGCCCCAAGTTCAACCCCACACCAGTGAGCTACCCCGGTGGGTTTAACTTTGAAACGATCTTTTCAATGACTTAGGCCTTGACAATCTTGTAACATGGGATTATAATAAACCACCAGGAATAATTGAGTTCCAGTTAAAAGGAAGAGTCCCCATACTACAAGCTTTTACCGAACAAATGAGCCACCGTTGAAATAAAAGTAATGCCACTTGGATACTTAAATCCAATTCACTATCACAATTTGCTGACTCNGCCTCTGGCAGGGCCACATTAGACTTTACTCATGCAAAGTAATTCCCAAATACTTGCACTCACCCACAGGTATCGTTTAAACCCGGAACTTAGGACATCTCAACTTCCCATTCGCCCCAAGTTCAACCCCACACCAGTGAGCTACCCCGGTGGGTTTAACTTTGAAACGATCTTTTCAATGACTTAGGCCTTGACAATCTTGTAACATGGGATTATAATAAACCACCAGGAATAATTGAGTTCCAGTTAAAAGGAAGAGTCCCCATACTACAAGCTTTTACCGAACAAATGAGCCACCATTGAAATAAAAGTAATGCCACTTGGATACTTAAATCCAATTCACTATCACAATTTGCTGACTAAATTCACGGTTAGAGTTAATTAGCAGTGCATTTCCCAATATTGAAAAGGATCTAACAGCAATAGTGGATTGGTAAGGAAACATTTTGCTAACCCAATGAGCTCATCTATTTGCAATCTAAAATTTTGATAGTTAAGCCACATAGTGGTAATATATTGACCAAAACATTTGATCTTGAAGTCTATCTAAATTGTGCTGCAAATAAAAAGAACAAGATAAAAGAAGCTAGAAAATGGGAATTATCTTAGGAAAATATGTGAATGCAAGAGAAGAAATATGAGACTACACAATCAACCAAATTGTCTCCTGAAGGTGCTAACTGTTTAATAAAGGAAACAATTGGATTTCCTAGGAAATTTAATAACTGGCTTGCTTGAAAGTTGGAGCAAGNCTTAGGAAAATATGTGAATGCAAGAGAAGAAATATGAGACTACACAATCAACCAAATTGTCTCCTGAAGGTGCTAACTGTTTAATAAAGGAAACAATTGGAATTCCTAGGAAATTTAATAACTGGCTTGCTTGAAAGTTGGAGCAACAGCAAAATCAGAGAATGTGGGTTCTTATTCATAAGCTATTCAAAGCATATCAATTAACATTGACAATTTGCAATGTACTTATTACTCTGCGCTTATCAATATGTATTGGCTAGTTTTATTTTGGTGCAACATATCTGAGTCATATAGAAAATGGGCAGACTAATTGTATTTAGAAAGCCCAAAAGTGACATACCCAGCACTCTGCTTTTTTGTTCCTTTCTATGCATCATGCAACCACTAGAATGAACTTGCAAAACCATCAATTGTTGCTTGAATAGTTGCAGAACTTTNTTTAGAAAGCCCAAAAGTGACATACCCAGCACTCTGCTTTTTTGTTCCTTTCTATGCATCATTCAACCACTAGAATGAACTTGCAAAACCATCAATTGTTGCTTGAATAGTTGCAGAACTTCCTTGTAAATCTCCCATAGCGCATTGTTGCTCGATCTGCTATTCATTAAATGCAAAGAAGTTTTACATCTGCTGTTTCTAGAGACAATCAAACCAGAAATCCAAGCTGAAAGAGTTTCTAACTAGATAGTTTTAAAATGAAAAAGATTTATAAATTCATATGCGATCTCACCATGCATCTTTNTCATTAAATGCAAAGAAGTTTTACATCTGCTGTTTCTAGAGACAATCAAACCAGAAACCCAAGCTGAAAGAGTTTCTAACTAGATAGTTTTAAAATGAAAAAGATTTATAAATTCATATGCGATCTCACCATGCATCTTCTGTTTGCATATATTAAGGTTAAGGGTATCCTACTTTATAATCTTCTTCCATTTCAACAAATAGTAAAAGAAGAATCAATCTACAACATAGGTAGCATTGAAAAGAATCTTCACTTCCCAACCGGAACAAAGTAAAAGCCCAAAAATCTTAAATTTCTGCCGTCTTCTTTCTGTTATTATTGATTTTAATCTCAATAATTGCAAGAAAAAAGACCTTTATTTCTTATATTAAAGTGACATGGCAAATTTTCACAAAGTCGGATGTGTAAACAAAAGAATAAAGTATCGAGAGACGAGAAATTTATTTTGACTTACCTTCTTTCCTGTAAGATCAGTGTTATTGCTCCTTACAATCCTGGGAGCGCTTTCTAACTGACTCTTACTCCTTTTGTTCCCAATAAAATACTGACCAATGAGGATTATAAACAAAAGAAAAGAAAGTTAGAGGACTGATAACAATTCATTTGAAAAATGGCAATTCAAACAGGTGAAAAGCTTTCGGTGACAAAAGAAACAGATGAAAACTTGAATACAAGCTGAATATCTTTCCTCCACCGTTCAGGTCCAATAGAAAGAAAATCAAGTGCCAGCGTTTCTAAATTTAAATGGTTTCTGAAATAAAATCAAATAAAACCTTTATCATCTGAAAATAAATCTATGAATCCAGCAACTATCCTGTTTCGAGGGCAAAATATTTTGCAGGGTAACGAAACGTTCCCAAGGTAAGTTTGGTAGATGGACAATTATATTGTATGGACTCCTAAATCCGAATCACTTCCCGTGCATCAATTCATTAAGGACAACCAAGGGAAGTAGTGAATCATGGTCACACAAACAGACCAGCCTGCTGATAGGAGGCAGTTTTCTTCTTGGTAGGAATATATAGTTGAATCTGTATGGGTTACAGATCACTGTGGACTAGAATGTTGCCAAATATTAACAAAAGCTACAGAATCAGGTACATGTATTGAAAAATAGCGGGTATCAATTTAAATCCATCCCGAACAAATTTTTCTACCTTATGTATCAGCTTTTAGGTTGACCATCGCAGATTGGCAGGTCTTTTAACATTCCAGTCAAGGTGAGCTTCCTATAGTTGCAGATATACATTCATGTGCAAAGGAGAAGCACATCCTTAGCTCAGATATCAGCAAAATTCAGTCCCTTTTGAAAAGTTCAAAATAAAACTAGTCAGACAGGTAGACAATGGTCATCCTGCTCAAATACTCATATAAAGAATTCTTCCTTTTATTTCTCTAGCATAATTATGTCCTTTATCGACATGTTGTCTCAATCATTTCTCTCCTCATGTTTGTCCAACTTTGGCACCTGCTCCACATTTGCGGGCTTATACTATCTAATGAGAGTAACGGATGCCATATCCCTGACAACTTTCCTGGTGGTTGGAGTGGCTAACTGCAACTGATCAATACGGAAGCCTAGCCTATTTATAAAATAGAAATGGCAATAGATCATATAGTGAGAAAAATCAATTTCACTGCGAAGTGAAAGTCTAAGATTCTGATACACCAAATTATTAAAGGCAAACTACAGAGGCAACATGCAATCAATGTCCCTCCAAACTACGCGATAAAGTTGCGTGTCAGTCAAAAATATTGTAAGACAGCAGAACAAAGCAACTTGACAATACAACAAGAAGATTTCTTGCCAAAAATTGGGAACTCTTACAGATACTAGATGGACTATAAAATAAGTTTACACGAGATTTGGTAACAATGGGGACAGCTTATTTTTCAAGTTCAAGTGGCCACCAATAGGCCTTGACATAACTTGAGGGATTTAAAACCAAAAATCAATGAAACTATGTGTCTATGTAGAGTGGACAGAACCCCACTTGGAAACAATCGGGTCATCCACCAAGTTTCAACAGAACCAGTCATAAAATTGTGGCAAGAGGTGGGACGAAATAGATTATGCATGTTTATTGGAAGTATGGCAATATGTAGAGCAGGAAAGGTAAACAGAACACCTGAACTTGACCTCAAACTGTCGGTATGGACTGAGCTAAGCTCTCCATTGCAATCTCCAAAGGGGCATGATGGCAGCTCACCCTCTTCAAAATCTCCTTCACAGACCAAAAGGTCCAGGATATAAAGAACTCCAACTGCATAATTATAAAAAACTAAAAGTCAACCTCATCTCTTCTAACAGGATATTTTATTACTGCTATCTCTCATGTACATAGTTCGAATATGAAGCCAGCTCAATAGACCAAGTTTGTATGTATATGTTCGAATGTAGGTGTGTTCAGGTGTATATATTTTAGAATCAACTGAATGACCTAATAAACCAGACCCTACATACAGAAGAATCAACTATTTTGGTTGTGACCATGGAATGTGAATCTTGGGCCTAGATTGCCACATATGCATCCAAGTGCATACATTTTTTAATGTTCCAAGTATGTCAAACGGTCATTCTAATGCATAAATTGAATGCTATCACAAATTGAAACCAAATAGACAACAAGAAGCCTTCCGACCAAAAGGAATCAATGACTTTATGATCAACAAACAGGCACATAATTCATTACTAACTTTTCAAGGCCAAATGGAAAAATCATAATAATCCTATTGTAAGACTTCAAATCAATCAACCGGTTAATTTACCAAGGAACAAAGCAAATCATCTGGTTTCAACATGCACTCACAATTGCTGAGGTCACAAATTGATTGCAGGAAACATACGAAATGGATGAATTTAGATACCTGAACTGTGTTGGTAATTCACTTTGCTTGTATATGAATTCCCATCATGTGAATTGTGCTTCAAACACCAGAAGAAGCTGGTGCGGGAATGAAATACTAGTCCCATAAATGATTTAGGAGATTTAACCATGGTCTACGAGGATACTCCTCTTTAAGCATTCCTTTGAACTAGACAGAAAATGATTTGTCAAATAAAAAAAAAGAATAATGAAAGCAAGAACAATAAAAAATTGAAAAAGGAAAAAGAAACAGTACCAAATAATACCACCAAAAGAACAAATCCAAATACACATCTTACATCTCATTTGTTCTATCATTTAGTCCCTCAATAAGCATCGAATATGTTTGAGTATTGAGATGGCAACCTTTCTCCTCCATGACATCCACCAGTTCAGAGCATCTGTCAACAAGACCCCTCATAAGTAAGCCATCAATTAAAAGCTTCCAAGCTACTTCATCATGATTGAACCCACACTGAAGAAGACTAGAGAAAACTGCCATAGCCTTCTCATTATTTCCTTCATCATACAACCCACAAATAAGAAGCTTATATGACTCCAGATGTGGTAAAAGACCAAGACCAACTATAGTGTCAAGCAGCCCCACTGCTTCCTCATACATTCCCAACTTGCAGTAGCAATTCAAGAGAGAGTTATACATATCTTCACAGGGAGACAGTCCTTTATTTTTCATATGACCAACTAACCTCCAGGCTTCTTGAAAACGCCCTTCTCTGCAAAGTCCTGAAATGAGTGCATTGTAAGTGTTCACAGTAGGTGAACAACCGTGTTCAATCATTTTCTCAAAGAGCTCCAGAGCAGTATCAAATTCCATTATTTTCCACACATCAGCAATATTAATGGAGGGGACATTTTTATTTGGCTCAAGTCCTATTCTCTTGCCGCTTTCTTTCATATGCTTTTCATTTGAGAGATGCTTGACTAAAACTGAGTAGGTATAGGGAGAAGGTTCACATCCAGAGTCAACCATACATTTGAGAACTTCAAAAGCACGATGTGTCAATCCTGATCGTCCATATGCATCAATTAATACAGTGTAAGTCTTCAAATCAGGCAGGACACCTTCCTCACTCATTTTTGACATCACATCCTCCGCTTCTTTCAACTTTCCTTGGTTGCAATATGCAAGAAGAAATGAAGTGTAAGTGCATACATCAGGCTTATATCCCAAGGAAAGCATTTGGTTATAAACTCTATAAGCGTTGTCAAAAGCATATTCTTTTAACATTTGATCAATGAGAATTGTGTAAGTAACAACGGTGGGTTTCACGCCAACATTTACCATCCTTTCCAGTAGCAGGGATGCTTCATGCACCTTACTCTCTTTACATAGCCCATCAATCAGCACATTGTAGGTGGATGAGTTTGGAAGGCATTCTTCTTTTAGCATTCTCTCAAACAATGTTAGGGCAACATCAGTTTTCTCTGCTCTGCAATAACCATCTATCAAAGAAGTATAAATCACTTCATTTGTCTTTACACCCTTCTCCTTTAGAGAGTCAAATAGGGTATGAGCTTCTTCAGTCCTCCTCTTTTTACATAGGGCATCCACAAGAGCACCATAAGCCCATTGGTCAGGAACCAAACCATTCTCATTCACCAAAATGAGCAATCTAAAAGCACAATCTATATTACCCACTTCACACTGACCATGAATCAACAAGTTATAGCTGATCAAATTAGGTGACAGCTTTCGCTCAAGCATCTTAGTAAGTAGTGCCATTGCCTTGTGCACTTTTTTTGCTTTGCATAACCCACAAATCAACTCATTGTATGTGCGAACATTTGGACTGCAACTGTTTGATTCCATCAAGTCAACTACCTCAAGTGCAGCATCAATCATTCCTGCCTTACAGTACCCATCAATGAAAGCATTGTATGTCACCACATTTGCAACCAAACCTTTTTCAGACATTACATTTAGCAAGTCCCTTGCTTCATCAAGCTTCTTGTCCTTACACATACCATCAATGAGAACTGTATATGTATGAACATTCGGTTCACAACCTTTCTCCGTCATTTCCTTAAATAAATTTAGTGCTTCTACTTTCCTACCTATTCCACACAATGCATAAATGAGGACTGTATATGTCCTCACGTTTGGACAACAATTATCCTCACCCATTTGATCAAAGAATCTAATAGCTTCATCTATCCGCCCAAGTTCACAAAATCCATGAATCAAATTGTTATATGAAACCTCATTTCTTCTGAGACCCATTTGTGGCATAACCTTAAACACCCTAAATGCACTATCTACATCCTTATTCCTACAATGCCCCAAAATCAATGACGTATAAGTATGTGTATCCGGACTTAACCCAGCTTGCAAAATCTTACTTACATACAACTCAGCCTCACCCACATTCCCCAACTTACAATAACCATTAACCAATGCATTAAACGTATAAATATTTGGGCAGACCTTATCATCCAACATTTCCAGATACACGCATTTCATTTCATCAATCATAAGAAATCTCGATAAGTTCATTAGCATTGTATTATAACACCTAATAGAAAGCTTAAATTTGAACGCATCATCAGAATTATTCATTTTTTTCAAAACATTCAATACAAAATGAGCGTCTTCCGGTGATTCCATGGCCTTGATCATCGAAATACGGAGTTTTTCAGAAACACTAAAGAATTTATTGGGGATAAGAATTTGCAAAAGAGAAGAATAGGCGTGGACATTGGGTTTGAAGGTGGGTTTTTGGGAGAGGAAGTTGAAGAAGGAGAGTGCAGCTTGGGGATTGAGATTGGGGTTCTGGATGAAGAAGGTGGCGAGGAGTGTTGGGGATATGGAGGGGATTAGTTTTTTGAGGGACGGGTGTTTTTGCCAATTGAAGTGGGCGAGGAGAGAAAGGAGCTGAGACGAGAGGTCGAGTGGGGGTTCAATAGGATCTGAACCGAGGGTTTGTGGGATTGGAGAGGACGATAATGAAAAGGGTTTGATGAGAGGGAAAAGATTGAACTGACCTAGTGGTGGTGATTGTGATTTGATAATGCCCGATAATCGTATCATTGTATTGGCGGCGACGGTGAGGACGCCATTCATGGACGTCAGGGTTTCAGATTCATCAAGGTGGATTTGGAGAGAGAGAGAGAGAGAGAGAGAGAGAGGTGAAGACGGAAATGGTGAGAGAGTAGCGGCAGAGTTGGGGAGAGTAGGTTTTTGGGAACAGTACCGTGTGTTGATGGCTGTGCTGGTTCGTGTTAAAGCACCATGGTTGAGACTTCAGACCAAGGCCTCCGCCATGGTTCAGTGAAAGGTTTTTTTTTTTGGGGTAATTACACCATGACACTCTAAAATTTGTCATTTAATCACCTAGATACCCCATATTTGACATATTACACTTATACCTCCTAAGGATTGTGCATGTATAACACATAACCTTTATCGTCCATCTATGTTAAGGTAACCATTAAAAATTTGCTAGTCTCCATTAAAAAAAATAATTTTTGCAAATTTTAAGAAATCATGATTTTATTAGTATGTTTTTTGTTATTTGTGATTTTATTAAAACATACTAATTAGGGTATTATTAAAACAAATTAATTTGTTTGAGTATTATTGTTAATATGAATATATGGTGTTCCAGGACATGACATTTGGGACATTAATTTTTTTTTGTTGAAATATATGTTCTATTTTATCCATTTTTTAGTTTCCTTATTCTACTGTATATTAGCAAATTGATATCAAATAAAAATAGAAAACAATTACTCCTATAGAATGTTTAACTGATAGCAAATAAAGTTTTGTTATGTTTCATGAATTTTTAATGGTTACTTAAACGAAGATTGGCGATAGGAATTACGTGTTACACGACCTTAGAGGTCTATGTATAATATTTTAAATATGAGGGGATCTAGATGATTAAGGCATAAAATTTAGGGACTTTAAGTGTAATTTACTCTTTTTTTGTTATTGCGGTCCGGGTGTCCGAGCTAACTTATATGCACATCGACTAAACTTTTCCCCGATTCGTTCAAAATAAGTCATTCACACCAATACAAAGGAATTAATGAGGGATTACCTAATGGCCTTGACTCCAAGGGAATAATCAAGTCGTGTTATGTATTTATTTTAATTGACTTCACTCATATCCAATACATTTATTAATCGTGTCATGTCAAGTTCACTTGTTTACGAAATAGATGACTTAAAAATTATCAAAACCTTTTAACTTTGTATCGTGTTAACGAATCGTGACATTTTTTGACAATTCTATAACATTTCTAAATATCCACATATGTCAAATGCTTTTGATTAAATCATACTACNATTTTTTGACAATCCTATAACATTTCTAAATATCCACATATGTCAAATGCTTTTGATTAAATAATACTATAAAATCATTTTTAATGTGCATGACTTAGATTTTCAAATCGAAGTGTGTTTGTCACTCAAATGTAACTTATTAATTAACTTAACTATGAAAATTTTTGACATTCTCAAACTACTAATATCCATCTATTTAATTGATAAAATGTAACTTAATTATCTAAACTTTTGACATTCTCTACTCATTTGCATCTATTCAACTAGCAAAATTCGGGTAGGGGCAAGGGCTATCCCACATCGAATAGCCTTAAGGGGTGTGCGTGTGTTTATGTACACTCTGCAGCCTTCACCTTATAAGGTGTTGGTTGTAATTGTCTATCAGTTTGAAAAAAAAAACTAGCAAAATTCAATTTATGGCCATTGAATGCATTTAATGTATAAAAAAATGGGAATTAAAAAAAAAATACCTCTATAGATTATGTTTTTTATGTTCAAACTAAATATTTCAGAGTACAAATAGAAGTTTAAGAATTTCATATTGTAGTTTCCTTCACTTCATTACATACACCTCCCCCATCCCCCTCTCTGTCACACAATAAGTTCTTTATTTAAATTTATGCCTTTTACATGATCATTTGTACAAAAGTTTTTGGTTTGAAATTTGATTCCATGATTATGTGTCAAACGCTATTGAAAGATTCTTATCGTTAATGATTATGTTCGTTTTTGTTGTAAATGCATCACTATAGTGACTTTAAGGATGTGCTGGTCAAAATAAAAAAAAAAAAAGGATCAATGCAATTAAAGTAATGAGTCATAAATTTGGAGAAAACATATGGAAATGAATTTTTTTTTTCTTTACCTTTGGATACCTAAATTATGAATTTCAGATATTTGTGTTTTTACATCCAAAAGATATATTTTTAAATTTTGATTCAAGTAATAGTCATACTCTAACTCCATTGATTTGAAAGAAGAGAAGGCATACAACATTGTTGGTTTTGTGGAATGAGGATAGGAGTTGGGAAAGACAATTGTTCTTTTATGGACAGGGCTAACAAAAGACTATTTACCATAAACAAGTAAGATATGTTCAGGTTCTTTCTAGACTCCATTATTTAAAGAACCGTTCATTGGTTAAGAAAGGAACTAAGGTATATATCAAGGTTGTTGTTTCGGAAGGAGGAGATATATGCGGATTTTTTTTCTTACTATTATTGTACATGTAGAGCGCACGATACTACCTAGAGGGAGAGAATATATTGGGTGTAATGGTGACACACGTTATTATTGGCACATAGTATCATCATCCAATAATAAACCTACAAATTGGTAAAGTGAACTTTACTTGAATGGTTATTAAATGACATGACAGGGTAATTATTAGAACATGCAGGATCCATCAGCCATATGTTATGTTATCATCAGACGGTTATACACAATATTTTTTCTTAGAGGGGAATGAATAGATTGTTAAACTTTAAGTTTAATCAATTACAAATTAAAATCTATTATTACCACAATTATTTATTTTCACAAATATTAATCAATTGATGGTGAGAACTCCATTTAATCACAACAACTCCATGAACCTATGTAGATTAGTGTATTGATTTTAATAATTAATCACTCAAAACTCAATCTTCCATGGGGATTCCAACCCAATGACCCAAACTCTTGGATGCACAAATATATATAATTATGATATTCGAGCATTCATTCAATCAAACACATAGCACATATGTGTGCTCAAATTGCAAGTGTGTATGAAAATACAATAAAGAACACACAAAATTTATTAACGCAGAAGCCCTCATTAGAAAAAATAAACTTAATCCACTACCCCAATACTATGGTTGTATGTTCTTTTCCTTCAATAAACCTTTCTACTGAAAATGCCTCTCTAACGTTATTTGTATTTTCACTTGGATTCACTGCCATAAATGGATCTTCTAGGTTTTTGAGCAATTTTGGGTGTATCAATGATTCTCGGTATGCACACACTAATTGATTTGGTCTTTAACTAATCAAGATCTTTNAATGGATCTTCTAGGTTTTTGAGCAATTTTGGGTGTATCAATGATTCTCGGTATGCACACATTAATTGATTTAGTCTTTAACTAATCAAGATCTTTTTCACCCAATTATGATGTTGGATAAAAATCACTAGATGATAGCATTGAGTTTAAGAATCTAGGGTTGTGGTGTGATATATAAGGTATAAGAGACAATAATTCGTCTTACAAAAGAGATCCCCTAGGTTGAGAAAGATATTTTCTATTAATAGACTCGAAATAAGAGCAATCTTTATCAACAAGAAAACTCAAATTTACAAACTACCACTCGAGTGATGGGAGAACGGTCATATGACAGTAGTCACTAAAATGAAAAATAAGTTTCAACCTGACCTAAGAAGAGCAGATCACTCGAGCGACCTCAAGGGCGGTCCCTACTCTTTCTCCATTTGGCATTTTATTTGTTTCTTCCTCAAGTCATAAAGAGACTACTCTAATGAAGGCTAATGAGTAAATGACAGTCCCTATTAATTTTTTTAAGTCTAAAACCAAATAAAAAATTTGTCCTTTTAAGAACTAAATGACATTGCTCAAAAGGCTGATAATGACTCAAACTATATTTTTTAAAACATATAAAACAGTTTAGAAAATATTTTCTTTGAAAATCACTTAAAAGTCATACACAGATTAACACCAATTCCATTTTTACATTAATCCTCCTAATTGTATTAAATTATGAGATCAACTTAGGTCTCTAGGTCATTACATTGCTCTAAGTGTGAAGGTACATGCAGAGTATTTTTAATGTAACTTTGACGTATGATCTGCTTCTTTCAATGATGATTTTGAATCTTCATTGTTGTAGTATCATGACTATAGAAAAATGTTGTGATTTACATTATTATTTTTTTTGAGTAATGCTACATGAACTGAAAAAATACAATATAATTACAACAATTGATTTTATTTTTGGTCATAGCATTTATTGAGATCCATTGCATATTCGATGATTGTGATTATAAAGTCTAATTTTTATATTCATCTAGCGTTACTCTATTTTTTTTTATATATTTTTTTTCAGGTGGGGAAAGGAAGAGGAAACTTGAACTATTGACCTCAAAAATATAAAGTTTTCACAAGATAAGAAATATCATTAAATCAAAAATCTGTTTGTAATTGATTTATATTAATTCGACAAAAATTAGTCAATTATAAACATATGATCCAACAAAGATGATGGTTTATCGCTCCATGTTTTATTCTAAGTGGTATGGGTCTTGGTTGTCATTTATGTGAATTCTTTTAATTATAAAAATCCTACTACTTTCCTAATTCTGTTCCTTACGTGAGGTTGTACCATTCTTGGTTAGATTCTTAGACTAAGAGTTACTCTAATTATTTTTTATTTCATATTTATCTTATTACATATGAACGGAAGATAATTGTTTGAGTAACTATCATAATATAAGACAACTAGCAATAATCTGTTCACGAAGACATGATACAACACAAAATTCAAATGCTCAAAAAATTGATTTCATTATAACAAATTGTCAAAATTTGATTTTTTTTTAATTTCTACCCATTAATTTTTTTCAAAAAAATGACATTTTTTTTAAATGCATGATCTCAAAAAAAATAAATAAAATCAACGTGCATGCATATGAATGTCTGAAATAAAAATTAGATAATTCAACTTATGATAAAAANAAATAAAATCAACGTGCATGCATATGAATGTCTGAAATAAAAATTAGATAATTCAACTTATGATAAAAATGAGTGAAAAAAATATGTGGGGATAAGATTCATAATATTGAGTTGCTAACTATCTTATTAGATAGACTAATTTCCACGCATTGTTTTTTTTCAAAAAAAAACCACAATTGTTTTTTAAAATACATGACCATAAAAAAATAAATAAAAAATCATGTATACATTTGAATGTCTGAAAATAAAAATTAGATATTTATTTAACTTGTGATAAAAATGAGTAATCTGATAGAAAATGAGCAAAAAAAATATATTGATATAAGATTCAAATACTAACTATCTTATTAGATAGATTTGATTGAATTCTATATATTCATTATCAACAATTAGTGGACTTTCTATAATAATATAAATATATTCTTAGAGATGTAGTATCATTGCCAATTTTCTAAAACAACAAAAGAATTTATTGAATATTAAATGCACGTGCACATGTATATTAACTAGTGTATGTTCCTGCTGAGAAACACGGGATTAGTTATCAAAGGCAAGTATACCCCGTTCCAGAGTAAGACTCACCACTCTTTGCATCCAAACGGACAGAATCAATAAGTTGCGTAAGGCACGGCATGACACCTCTAAATGTACCCACCGCGCGCTTTCGGTTCTTCTTCCCCACTGCGACACTCCCATGCGACCTCGACGAGCCAGTACTTTTCAGAATATCGCACTGGAGAGAGAGAGAGAGAGAGAGAGAGGTGCTTATGGACGATTGACGCTGCTTCATTTCTATCTCTTCGAAAAACTAAAATGAACCACCACCTCCGTCATCACAATCACCACCGTGATGCCACCAAGCGCTGTGGACCCAAACCCCTGGACACATCCATCACACTGCAGGCAGGCCAAGTGGTCTTCCGGCTCCTATGTCACGTGATCAACGCTGGGGGAGTCATCGGAAGCTCCGGTGCAATCGTCAAACGCTTGGAACACTTAACCGGTGCGAAAATCTTGGTGGAGGACACGATTCCGAACTGCCACGAACGGGTCATCAATATCATCGGCGATGCAGCCATTGACAAGAAGATTGCAGTTGATGTTCGAGACGAGAACTTGATAGAAGGATGTGAAGAGGTGTCGCAGGCACAGGAGGGGTTGATTAGGGTTTTCGAGAGGGTTTTGGAGGTGGAAAGGAATAATGGTGGGGTCATTGGCTGTAAATTGCTCGTGGGTAATGGGCAAATTGGGGCGGTAATGGGGAAAGGAGGACGAATTATTTCTGAGATTCAGAAAACTACGGGGGCAAAGATTCGTGTCTTGAACAAAGAGCAGGTTCCAGTTTGCGCAACGCCAGAGGAGCGATTGATCCAGGTGAGTTATTAGTTTTGATGTATTTGAATTCCAATGTTGTTGTGTGGTTCAAGGGAAGTAATATAATGTGGGTTGACAATGAAGTAATAGAAGGACAATGATAAATCTTTTGTATACAATTTTGTCTGAGTCGTAATACGTCCTGCCCTTGGCCTAAGTTTCAGTCTCGTCTCGCATGCGAGCAAGTATTCTAGATAGAATGACTTGGTTTCATGGTATAATGCTGACTTAAAGTCGTGCGGGTGTTGTACAAAACGAACAACATCCTATGATCCGGGTCCTAAGCTAAACAAAATGGTATCAAAGCCATTGATCCTCGTGATTTGGAGCTACATCATTTGTAGGGTGGCTAGGGGTCGTGGGTGGGAGTCATCCTGTAGAATTGTACATCAATTGGGTTGGGAGGATTCCAAACTAGGATGTGTGGGCCTAAAAGGAGTAAATGATGGTGACAAATCCCGTATTGCATGGTGACGTATGTGTGAAGTGTTTCTTCACACATTTACCAAAAAAAGTATAACTTGATTGGATTGGNCAAATCCCGTATTGCATGGTGACGTATGTGTGAAGTGTTTCTTCACACATTTACCAAAAAAAGTATAACTTGATTGGATTGGTAATTCCACGTGATTGTGTTCCATTATCCGTGGAAACTTGCGGGCTTATGGGAAAGGGACTAGAGCTTCTATACTTTGGGTTTGTGTTGTAATGGTGACTTTTTGGTTGGGATAGATGGAAAGAACTAACAGAATTTTTGAATGTAAAAGGGAGGTTATAGAGCAAAGCTCTTATGGGCAGTGGCTTTTAAAGAGTTTTGTGATCATTGTTATTTCTTAATTCATCCAGATTGGATCATAGTATGTACCTAAGAGAGAGTCTCTCTATTGTATTTTGCTACAATACAATCAGGCAACTGGTTTGTTTAGCTACTGAACAAGAGAAACACAAATGCTTGAGTGTGCTAATGAACCTGCTGTACTGCCAAGTGCCATGAGGGAAACACTTCTATGTGGTTTCCTTCTTCCTTGGTACATGGGGTGGGGATCCCAACGTAAATATGTTAAGAGGTAGTCTTGAGTTTCAAGTTAAGTGCTAGTTGTGTGATTCATGCATTTGTAGTTATGGCTAGTCTAGATATATGCATGATCATCTACATGTCAAATTGGAGACCAAGTTGAAAAAGAAAACTCCGTGGTCATGAGTTATTTAAATTTTTTCTTGAATAATGTAAATGAAAAATGCATTTGGTGTTGCTAATATTCAATTATTTTTCATAAGCATAATTTTTTTTATTGATCGTCCAATATTATGGCAGATAATGGGCGGCATGGTTTCTGTAAAGAAGGCTTTGGTTGCTGTTTCCTGCCGTTTACAAGATCGCACACCAATAGAGAGTGCAGTGGTACACTGTGGATCTTTATGTAATCCATGCACGGCCTATTCCCCTAGTAATTCTGTTGACCATTCTTTGATTGGGCTATCATTGTCAGCTGACGTTGACAGAGTCCTTACTTTGGATAAAGACAGTGGGCAACAAGAAGTTGTGTTTAGATTGCTCTGCTCTACATTGACAGTTGGGGGTCTAATTGGCAAGGGTGCAACCATAGTCAAATCTTTAGAGAAGGAAACAGGTGCTTCTATAAAGATTCCAGCTGCTGTACCTGGGTCAAATGAGCGTGTTGCCACTATTGCTTCATTGGAGGTTTATCATGCTACCACTGATGCTCTACCATATTACGGCTACGACATTTACATTTTACATTTGTCCTTTCTTGTGGTTGCACCCCACCAATATATTTTCTTCTTTGATGATTGATTATTGTTGGAATCTGTTGCAGAATCCTGAACAATTGTACTCGCCTGCTCAAATTGCCATTGTTCGTGTTTTTGCTAGATCCATTGAGGTTGGCTTTGATCACCGGCTCATATCAGGCTTGGGTAAGGGGGAAACTATAACTGCAAGACTTCTTGTTGCGTCAAACCAAACCAGTTGCCTGATTGATGAAGGAGGAAGCGTTGCTTCAGATATAAGTACTCTAACTGGTGTTGAAATACAGCTACTGGGAGGGAACTTTATTCCAAGTTGTGCCACGGAGAATGATAGAGTTTTGCAGGTGCGGGTTTTAACTGTTGACCCCCACTCCCCAATAGGTTTGTCAAAAGCTGAAAATCTTGTTCTATGATTTCTTTATGATGTTGCTGCTATCAGAGGCGGGTCCAGGCGCAGCGGTAAGTTTGTTATATTATGAGTTGGGCACCAAGGGACTGAGCCACTAAACTCTTCTATGATACTGTAGTGGTGTGAGCCTCACTCCCTGGGATGCTCTATGCAATGTTTATACTGAACCTATATACATTGGATGAATGACACAAGAATAAGATTTTCTTAGGTCGAGAAAATTCTGGGAATTGACAGGTTCTCTTGTCAAGCCCTTTGAAAATTTTCAAATTCCCAAATTTTATGTTTCCGGTATCTGATGGGTGTGTGAACTTGTTGCTTTATTTTATGCAAAAGTTGACATAGAAATGTAAGTGGTTTTTTTTTGTTAGTTTCCATTTTTTGTTATTTTATTTGTTAGGAGAAGGCTAGACCACTGGTCTGCTTGGATCCTTTGGAGACATTTCAAGCACTACGGTTTTGTTGGCAATATTGACTGTGAATTATCTGTGGTGTTACGGAAAGTTGATTTAGACTGAAATTACATAGGCTCTATTCTGCAGATTATTGGTGAATATGAGAATGTAAAGAGTGCTCTATTTGAAATTACCGGTAGACTGAGGAATAATATTTTTTCCAGTCTGGTATCTGATAGAGCAGGAGTTGGGCGCTATTCTTTCTCTGCAATCCCTGATAGGATTCCCCATGAGAGTGGGAACACTATTTCTCCTGGATCGGACCAGTTTTCAGGTCGGTATCCTTTTCATCAAGTGGATCACCTTGGATTTCTGCCCAAGTTCGGTGCTCCTCACTCCCCAAGGTTGCAGCCTTCACAGCTGAAGGTTCTGTTCCCTCCATTTTGTATTACGTTTCTTCATATCCCTCTTTTTTTCTTAAGGATGTGGTTCAACCTGAGAACTTCACTGTATAGAGTTCAATGACTGCAGAAAATGGCTAGAGGGGAAAGAAAACCACCAGAAGATAGTGTAGGAGGCTTGACAACTTCTAAAGGTGGGCTTGATCATGGGAGGTCAGTTTTGCATGAGATGAGCATCAAATTTTGTTTTATTGGACACTAGAAAATAGAGGCGGACATCAAAATTGTCTTCTCCAGTCTCTCTCTTCGTAATTGCTGGAAGCAGTATGAGTACATTCTTAATAGACCACATAACTCAGTGGGTTGCCTATAAATGCTTATATGGATGGGCTGGGGCTGAAGACCTGTAATATTCATTATATGTGAATGATATAAAAAATGTGTGCCAGTTTTCTTCAAAGCTGGGTGAGTAAGCACTCTGCCAATTTAAAGAGCTCATTTGCTCAAAACTATTAATTAATGACTCTGGTGAGGCCTCTGCACATCATTGAGCAACCCAGTTACCTTGATTTTTCACAAATGATATGTTTGTTTATGTGAGGCATTCAGTTGAGAATTATTGGTTTTTTCGATGCTTATCCGAAGTTAGGGTGTCTAAGGTTTCAAATAATGACCTTTGCTTTTGTGTTTTTCAATATCTCAATTTTGAGATTGAAATCTTGTGTAAATTACTGAATTTCATTGGATAAATCAAACTTCTGTAAGGCATTTGACCTCATCCGTTGTACATCCTGCCCTGTCGTTTGACTAAAGTAATATTGACTGTTTGGAATCTTAAAATGATAGAACTGATCTGGTTCGAGACTACAATAAAGATAGGAAAACTGATCCGTTTATGTCTATTTAGATTCCAAGAGAGCTATTAACTTTTTTTCTGAAAGTAGGTGAGCTATTAACTTACTTCTATCTGGTTTTGACTCTTTTAATGGTTTGTGCAGCATGGGTCCTGCTGTTGTAACAAATAAAACTGTAGAGGTTGTAGTTCCTGAACAAGCTTTTGGCTCCATCTATGGTGAGAATGGTAGCAATCTGGCTCGTCTAAAAGAGGTAAAACTCTGCCATATATCAGGGGCAGCCCAATGCAAATTGAGGCCCTAGGCGAAATTCTTGGATAAGGCCCCATTATATTGTGATGATAATATATGATATTCTTTAAATAGTTATTTAGATATCAAAATTTAATTTTTTACTATCTGAGATGAAAAATTACTATTTAAACTTTTGTATGTATTTTCCATATCATTTTAGCTGATAACATTCATTCAAGGGCTAATAGTTGGTATAATAGGAAGAAAATGATTTATTAGATTTTTGTTAGTCTAATTGTTGACAATAAAAAAGTTATGAATAATAAATTTCAAGTCTCATACCTCACACTCAGGTAATTTTTATGTTGTTACAGTCAATGAAAAGAAGTTCTCAACAAATTTAATTTAGATTTAAACTAAGTTAACTTATGAAAAGACTATCAAATAATAGAATAAACAAATAAATAATTTTTAAAGTTGATCAAAGTGGTTGGAAATAATATATAAAAAAATAATTGCATAGTTTTGTTACACACGGTAAGTTCTAAGACATAAATAGTAGAATAATTAAAGAAATAGCCAGCATTAGATTAAAATGTAAAAATAACTGGACTTTATTAAACATAAGCCTAAACACTTTCCTAACAAACTTTTAGGAGCCCTGAAAAAAAAAATGGATTTTATTAAACATAGGTATGAAAATTTTATTTGAAGCCTGAGACCAAAATTAGACTTGATTAAATCTGGGTTGGAAAATTTTATTTGGAGCCCTGAAAATAAAAGTAGACTTAACTGAACATGGATATAAATATTATATCTGGGGCCTTAAGAAAAAATTGGGCTAAATTGAGTCTGAGCCTAAAATTTTTTAATTGGTGCCCTTAACATAAAATTAGACTTAATTAAACATCAATCTAAAAATTTTGCTTCAGCCCTGAAAACAAAATTAGACTTAATTGAACATAAATTTAACATCCCTAAAAACGAAATTCAGTTTAATTAAATCTGAATCTAAAAATTTTTTGGGGCCCTAAAAATTTGGGGGCTCTAGGCGAAGATTTCAACTGCCCATGCATTGGGCTGGCTTTGCCAAATTGCTCCCCCAATCCTTAATTTATTTTTTGTAGATTTGGGATTCAAAGGTAGTGGTTAATTTTAATTTGCATTCCTTATTTCCATTGAGAACCTGTTGATGCCCATGGGGGATAAAGCTTAGCCCTTGGCCATTGAGAATTTCTATAACAAAGGTTAAAGCCCTACAGTTTTTTTTAATGCGTAAACCTTGTTGAACGAAGATGGANATGCCCATGGGGGATAAAGCTTAGCCCTTGGCCATTGAGAATTTCTATAACAAAGGTAAAGCCCTACAGTTTTTTTTAATGCGTAAACCTTGTTGAACGAAGATGGGTTGATATTTGAATAGAACGGATTCAAAATTATCCTAGAATAGTTTTTGCCTTTCGATTTTCACAAAGATATATATGAGTAATTTAAAGGAGATTCCAGTTGTTAAGAGTCCTTAAAGCTTGTGATTGTTGGCTCCGACCTTTGAGTTCCTCAAAGGTGGAACTAATGTTTTTGAATTCCTTTATTTTTTCTGGTTGGCCTAGGAAAAGAAAAGGGGGGGGGGGTGAGGGGTTGGAGTTCCTTGCCAAATATTGATTTTGATCTCTTTTCATTTTTTTTGGGTGTTACCTATGGTTAAAGATGTTGGTCATCGACTCGGGGGCACACAGACATAACGGTAGTGGCTTCGCATAATAGTATTGGATGATACACATTAAATGCTGGATAAAAGTAAACATTCAACATGACGCGAGATTCCAGTCATATCGTGACATTGTCGTTGGTATGGCCTATTTGGTGACGATGACTCGGCCGACTCGTCTAAATTGCATGAGATTAGTGGTTTAAACAAAACCTGGGAGGCTGCGATGGTGTCAGATTGGAAGGTGCACTTGGCCAAGTTGTATCGGTATTGGCCTATAGTTTGAAACTTTGTATTACCAAATCTAGCCGAGCCACCTTAAATCAAACCAAAGCAAAGCACCCAACTACGACAAGCCTCCTTGAGGATTAGGTTAATCAATCCAGCCCGGGACATGTTTGTTGACAAAACTGGCATAGAAATGGGGATGTTTCAATAGAGCGGGGGTTAATTGATCAACGAGAAAGAGGCCCTACTCATATGAATGATGAGAACACCACAAGCTCTAACGATGCTCATCCCTTTCTGCCTTTCTGGCAGCAAGTTGACCACCCCCCTAGGTGGCAGTGGTTCCATCAATCACGAATTTAGGAAGGACTCTTCATTTTCAATGGTATATCATGAATAAAGAAAGTTATTTGCACGGAGTCACACTGCGCTTTCCCTTCCTTAGATGTTCGACTTGCTAACTAAGAAAGCTTTTTCAAATTGAGATTGGGCTTATTCCTTCATTGGACCAGGAAGGATGTAACTTGTAAGTTCAGACTCTCTTGGCACTGATTTGTCTAAACCAATTTTTATTTGCTCCACATTGTTTTAATTGTTTCAGCATTCTAGAGATTTCCAAAACCTATAATATCTTGTTTTACATGTCTTGAATCTGGTAGTCCAAATTCTTTAGTACCAAAAAAAAGAATCTGGTGGTCGAAATTCTTAAGCATTTGATTGAAGCCAATCTGTCTGCTTAGGTGTAAGACAGGCTAGCAAACCTTCTTTAGTTGAGATTGGGCTTTTTTCTTGGCAAGAACCTGAAGGGATGACAGTTTATATTCTTGTAGCATTGAAGCTGTGAGCCTCTGCATTGTATTTTTTAGTTTTACTGTACCTGAGTTATCCTATTGGAACTTTGTGTTGCCTCTAAGGATGTGCCCATGCATTGTGTTTGTGTGACTGCATATAAAACAGTGTCATTGTTATCAAACTTCCAGATTAATTTTTGTTTTAATGACGTTTCTTGTCTGGTGATATGGATCAGATTTCAGGTGCAACAGTAATAATGCAAGATCCTCGCCCTGGTGAACAAGATGGGAAGGTAATCATATCCGGGGTGCCTGATCAAATCCAGGTTGCAGAGAGCCTGCTGCAAGCCTTCATCCGAGTTTGAGCGTAATTTCTAGATTATGGGTGTCAGCGCTTAGGATTGTTAAAACAAAGTTGTTGTGCAGTTAGCCTTCTCCCCTCTAATAGCAACTAGTGATGGTACAGTTGTAAAGCTGCAGAAGTAGTTTGTTAGCATGATCATTAGTCTGTGTATCAAAAGGTCTTTTTACTAGGGACGATCTAAAGATTGATAGGGAATTACGCATCTTTGTCAAACTTTTCTGCAAGGTGAACAGAGGTGGTGGTACGGAACAACAATATGAATGGCCATGTACTTGAATGTGTGTATGTTTTGAGTAACGGAAGGTCAAGGGACCAAGGTTTGGTACTGGTAGCCAATATGCATTTAACAAAGAACAATGCTGATACTATGTGCTATGCCATCTCATTATGATATAAATTTACCCCTCTTGATTTTTGTCTTATTTTTGATGACAAGGTCTTGATTAGGTTTAGGATTTTTAACTAATTCAGCAGCTCAAGCTTGGCTCATGTTTGACCTGTTTTAGCTCGTTTAAGTTTGTTCAGATTGTAATGCGAATGGAATCTCTTCAATTACTTGAGCTCATTTCACATCTGAGTTGGGCTTGAGTTTGTGCCAACCTTGAGCATATGATCTAGAATTTGAGTCAAGCTGAGTCGACTTGAGCCGTGACACGCAGTATCATATAAGTCATAACATAATAAATAGACTCTAAATAATTCAGTAATTATCTAGTTATGTAATATAAGAACTATCTCGTATATAGAAGTCTGATGTTATTTTTCTTATTTAATTATTTTTTTATTAGATGGTGATATAATAGTGACACTATTATAGCATTGTGGAGGCACGTAAACTGTTCGATGAATTGCCCAACAGGCACATAGTCACAGAGAATTCAATGATTGTTTCGTATATCAGGAGTAGAAGAAGTGAAGAGGCTACAAGGCTTTATGAGAGGATGGTAAGGGAGGGTGTTTTTCCTGAAGAATTCACGTTCTCTAGTGTTTTTCAAGGCATTTTCCGATCTGGGTCTTGTTCATGAAGGCTGGAGAGCTAATGGGTTGTCAGTGGTTTTGGGCTTGGAGGTGACCAATCTGTTTGTTAGTAGTGCACTAGGGAAAATGAGGGATGCCCGGTTGGTTTCGGATGGAGTTGTGGGGGAAAGAGGAGGTTCTGATTACAGCTTTGATTGTTGGTTACTCACAACTTGGTGAAGACTGTGAGGCTTCTGACGTTTTTGTAAATATGGTTAAAGAGGGGTGTTAAGGCTAATGAGTGTAGTTTGGCAAGGATATTAATTAATTGTGGAAATTTAGGGGAATTCTGTGAAGGTAAATTGATTCATGTCCTTATCATCAAGTGCGGATTTGAATCTGCATTTGCTTCACAAACTTCGCTCCTTACTATGTATTCTAAAAGTGTGATTTGGTTGATGAATCTTTAGAAGTTTTCAAGCGGATTGCTAACCCAAACCAGGTGACGTAAACATCTCTGATAGTGGATCTTGGGCAAAATGGTAAAGAGATTGTGTTGTAAAAGTTCCGCCAAATGATACGTACCTCACTAAACCTGAATTATTTCACATTGTCAGGTGCTCTTCGGGCATGTTCGAGCCTTGCAATGCTTGAACTGGGAAAAGAAGTTCACGCAGTAGTTATGAATTTGGATTAGACAGATAAATATACTGGAAATGCATTAATTGAATTGTATGGGAGATGTGGGTGTATAGATAAGGCAAGATCAATTTTGATGGTTTATGTGAATTAGATGTGGTACTTAGGAACTTGATCATCTATGGCTATGCCCGGAAAGGTTTTGGACATGAAGCACTTGCATTGTACAGTAGGATGAAAGATTTAGGCCATGAACCAAATGTAACGTTTTTGTGGGTGTTCTCTCAGCTTGCAACAATGCAGTCTTGATTGACGAAGGTTGTGAAATCTTTGCCTCCTGCATGTCAGACCAATCATACCATGGAACTCACAATGGATCACTATGCTTGCACGGTTGATTTGCTGGGCCGTGCTGGGAGACTCAAGAAGCAGAAATGTTTATAAACCAAGTAAAAAATCCAGGTGTCTGTCTTATGGACGTTTCTGAGAGCATGTAGGATTCATGGAGAGCTTGAGATGGTAAAGAGAGTGATGGATAGTGTGCTTGAGCTTTTGCACCAAGAGATGAGGGGATTCATGTCCTGTAATCAAATCTTTATGCTTCAACTGGTAATTGGAATTTTGGAACCATGTGATTGAAATGAAAATCACCATGAGGGTAATGAATTTGAAAAAGAATCCTGCAATGAGTTGGGTTGATGTTGATTGGGAGGTTCATACTTTCATGGCTGGAGATTGGTCCCACTCAAATTCTAGAGAGATACATCAAACGTTTGAAGCATTGATTGAGAAGGTTAAGGTGCTTCCGGATACAAAATTTGTGTTTCAAAATTTGGATGAGCAGGAGAAAGAGAGGGCTTTGAATTATCATAGTGAGAAGCTAGCCACNGTGTTTTTCAAGGCATTTTCCGATCTGGGTCTTGTTCATGAAGGCTGGAGAGCTAATGGGTTGTCAGTGGTTTTGGGCTTGGAGGTGACCAATCTGTTTGTTAGTAGTGCACTAGGGAAAATGAGGGATGCCCGGTTGGTTTCGGATGGAGTTGTGGGGGAAAGAGGAGGTTCTGATTACAGCTTTGATTGTTGGTTACTCACAACTTGGTGAAGACTGTGAGGCTTCTGACGTTTTTGTAAATATGGTTAAAGAGGGGTGTTAAGGCTAATGAGTGTAGTTTGGCAAGGATATTAATTAATTGTGGAAATTTAGGGGAATTCTGTGAAGGTAAATTGATTCATGTCCTTATCATCAAGTGCGGATTTGAATCTGCATTTGCTTCACAAACTTCGCTCCTTACTATGTATTCTAAAAGTGTGATTTGGTTGATGAATCTTTAGAAGTTTTCAAGCGGATTGCTAACCCAAACCAGGTGACGTAAACATCTCTGATAGTGGATCTTGGGCAAAATGGTAGAGAAGAGATTGTGTTGTAAAAGTTCCGCCAAATGATACGTACCTCACTAAACCTGAATTATTTCACATTGTCAANCCTCTTGATTTTTGTCTTATTTTTGATGACAAGGTCTTGATTAGGTTTAGGATTTTTAACTAATTCAGCAGCTCAAGCTTGGCTCATGTTTGACCTGTTTTAGCTCGTTTAAGTTTGTTCAGATTGTAATGCGAATGGAATCTCTTCAATTACTTGAGCTCATTTCACATCTGAGTTGGGCTTGAGTTTGTGCCAACCTTGAGCATATGATCTAGAATTTGAGTCAAGCTGAGTCGACTTGAGCCGTGACACGCAGTATCATATAAGTCATAACATAATAAATAGACTCTAAATAATTCAGTAATTATCTAGTTATGTAATATAAGAACTATCTCGTATATAGAAGTCTGATGTTATTTTTCTTATTTAATTATTTTTTTATTAGATGGTGATATAATAGTGACACTATTATAGCATTGTGGAGGCACGTAAACTGTTCGATGAATTGCCCAACAGGCACATAGTCACAGAGAATTCAATGATTGTTTCGTATATCAGGAGTAGAAGAAGTGAAGAGGCTACAAGGCTTTATGAGAGGATGGTAAGGGAGGGTGTTTTTCCTGAAGAATTCACGTTCTCTAGTGTTTTTCAAGGCATTTTCCGATCTGGGTCTTGTTCATGAAGGCTGGAGAGCTAATGGGTTGTCAGTGGTTTTGGGCTTGGAGGTGACCAATCTGTTTGTTAGTAGTGCACTAGGGAAAATGAGGGATGCCCGGTTGGTTTCGGATGGAGTTGTGGGGGAAAGAGGAGGTTCTGATTACAGCTTTGATTGTTGGTTACTCACAACTTGGTGAAGACTGTGAGGCTTCTGACGTTTTTGTAAATATGGTTAAAGAGGGGTGTTAAGGCTAATGAGTGTAGTTTGGCAAGGATATTAATTAATTGTGGAAATTTAGGGGAATTCTGTGAAGGTAAATTGATTCATGTCCTTATCATCAAGTGCGGATTTGAATCTGCATTTGCTTCACAAACTTCGCTCCTTACTATGTATTCTAAAAGTGTGATTTGGTTGATGAATCTTTAGAAGTTTTCAAGCGGATTGCTAACCCAAACCAGGTGACGTAAACATCTCTGATAGTGGATCTTGGGCAAAATGGTAAAGAGATTGTGTTGTAAAAGTTCCGCCAAATGATACGTACCTCACTAAACCTGAATTATTTCACATTGTCAGNCTCATATAAGTCATAACATAATAAATAGACTCTAAATAATTCAGTAATTATCTAGTTATGTAATATAAGAACTATCTCGTATATAGAAGTCTGATGTTATTTTTCTTATTTAATTATTTTTTTATTAGATGGTGATATAATAGTGACACTATTATAGCATTGTGGAGGCACGTAAACTGTTCGATGAATTGCCCAACAGGCACATAGTCACAGAGAATTCAATGATTGTTTCGTATATCAGGAGTAGAAGAAGTGAAGAGGCTACAAGGCTTTATGAGAGGATGGTAAGGGAGGGTGTTTTTCCTGAAGAATTCACGTTCTCTAGTGTTTTTCAAGGCATTTTCCGATCTGGGTCTTGTTCATGAAGGCTGGAGAGCTAATGGGTTGTCAGTGGTTTTGGGCTTGGAGGTGACCAATCTGTTTGTTAGTAGTGCACTAGGGAAAATGAGGGATGCCCGGTTGGTTTCGGATGGAGTTGTGGGGGAAAGAGGAGGTTCTGATTACAGCTTTGATTGTTGGTTACTCACAACTTGGTGAAGACTGTGAGGCTTCTGACGTTTTTGTAAATATGGTTAAAGAGGGGTGTTAAGGCTAATGAGTGTAGTTTGGCAAGGATATTAATTAATTGTGGAAATTTAGGGGAATTCTGTGAAGGTAAATTGATTCATGTCCTTATCATCAAGTGCGGATTTGAATCTGCATTTGCTTCACAAACTTCGCTCCTTACTATGTATTCTAAAAGTGTGATTTGGTTGATGAATCTTTAGAAGTTTTCAAGCGGATTGCTAACCCAAACCAGGTGACGTAAACATCTCTGATAGTGGATCTTGGGCAAAATGGTAGAGAAGAGATTGTGTTGTAAAAGTTCCGCCAAATGATACGTACCTCACTAAACCTGAATTATTTCACATTGTCAAGTGCTCTTCGGGCATGTTCGAGCCTTGCAATGCTTGAACTGGGAAAAGAAGTTCACGCAGTAGTTATGAATTTGGATTAGACAGATAAATATACTGGAAATGCATTAATTGAATTGTATGGGAGATGTGGGTGTATAGATAAGGCAAGATCAATTTTGATGGTTTATGTGAATTAGATGTGGTACTTAGGAACTTGATCATCTATGGCTATGCCCGGAAAGGTTTTGGACATGAAGCACTTGCATTGTACAGTAGGATGAAAGATTTAGGCCATGAACCAAATGTAACGTTTTTGTGGGTGTTCTCTCAGCTTGCAACAATGCAGTCTTGATTGACGAAGGTTGTGAAATCTTTGCCTCCTGCATGTCAGACCAATCATACCATGGAACTCACAATGGATCACTATGCTTGCACGGTTGATTTGCTGGGCCGTGCTGGGAGACTCAAGAAGCAGAAATGTTTATAAACCAAGTAAAAAATCCAGGTGTCTGTCTTATGGACGTTTCTGAGAGCATGTAGGATTCATGGAGAGCTTGAGATGGTAAAGAGAGTGATGGATAGTGTGCTTGAGCTTTTGCACCAAGAGATGAGGGGATTCATGTCCTGTAATCAAATCTTTATGCTTCAACTGGTAATTGGAATTTTGGAACCATGTGATTGAAATGAAAATCACCATGAGGGTAATGAATTTGAAAAAGAATCCTGCAATGAGTTGGGTTGATGTTGATTGGGAGGTTCATACTTTCATGGCTGGAGATTGGTCCCACTCAAATTCTAGAGAGATACATCAAACGTTTGAAGCATTGATTGAGAAGGTTAAGGTGCTTCCGGATACAAAATTTGTGTTTCAAAATTTGGATGAGCAGGAGAAAGAGAGGGCTTTGAATTATCATAGTGAGAAGCTAGCCCTACTCTTTTTGGGCTGATTTGCACAGACACTGATCTGGACTGCTGATGATCTGCTGTCTATTTTTCTACAACGGGGATTAATCTACACTTGAATCACAAGCTTCTGCCCCCGATTGATCAATGCGTATGCTTTACAGAATTGAGACAGGTGATTTCCCATTATAGCTGGTTAATGGGTATAGAACACAGGGCTTAATTGACAACAACTAATGTATGCAATTATGCTCCATTTTGCCCAAGCCAATGACGTGTTGAACTTCAACAAACCAGAAAAATGCTATAGTATAGTATTTGGTGTTTTCTTACAGGACCATTTTTATATTTGATGTTTTGGGAAGTTTTGTGTATTATATGAGAGGAATTACAAAAGGAGATACAGAAAAATTATTCCTTGCACAGTTCATTTCAATTCCCCGAAATAATCTTGCAATATCATATTGGAAATTGAGTTAAGATTTCCTATGACTCTAGGATTATAGTCCTTTCAAAACACCAAAGATAATAAGCCTTTTTGAGTTGGGTTCTCTATCTTTACTATCCCTGCGAAACCAATACAAAACCATCGAAAAATTTGTAATAAATTTTTCGCAAATAGAAAGGCGTATGCTTTACTTTGTGGATTTACTTCAATTTAAGAGCTTCCTTGGTCCTCCCCAATAGTGATAACACTGTTGAGCTTATGTGTCTAGAAGAAAGACCTGCTTCTTCAATCTGATCTTGGGGTGATCCATGGTCTATATATCTATCAGGAAGTACCATTGCTCTCAACTGCAGGAAGTTTCAATAACATCACAGTCTGGTTGAAACATAGAAAAGAAAATGCATTTTGAGCAAGAAATCTGTGTTGAAGAAAGTTACCTTGAGAGGTCCATCTAGAATACCACTTAAGCTTAGGAAGTGAGATACATGAGATCCAAACCCTCCAATAGAACCTTCCTCCACTGTAATTAAGATTTCATGTTCATTGGCCAATCTCTTGATAAGTTCTGCATCCAGTGGTTTGCAGAACCTTGCGTCAGCTACTGTTGCAGCTATATTATGGGTTTTGAGCAACCCTGCAGCTTCCAGGCATTGTTGCACAATTGCGCCATATCCCAAAATCGCAACTCTACTGCCTTCCATTAGTATTCTTCCCTTCCCTATCTGTTAAATGTTCAAAAATTAAATTATAAAGTATTCATTTTGAACTGTGTGCTGAGCTTTTGAAGTTGGTTACTTATAATGCTAACCTCAAGAGGCGTTCCTTTGTTATTAGGAGGAAGAACTGCTCCTATTCCATTGCCCCTCGGAAATCTGAAGCAGCTTGGTCTGTCATCAATGGCTGCTGCTGTCGCAACCATGTGCATCAGCTCTGTTTCATCAGATGGAGCCATGACCACCATGTTGGGCAAGCAAGCCATATAAGCAACATCAAATGCTCCACAGTGAGTTGGTCCATCTGCACCAACCAAACCAGCTCGATCCATTGCAAAGCGGACAGGTAATTTCTGAAGATCTACGTCGTGCACCACCTTCATATCCGTGGTAATTCATTAATCATTAGTGTGAAAGTCTCAAATGAAAATTTTAAACTTCACCTAGTTATCAACTTCACTTGCTCACCTGATCATAGCCTCGTTGCAGGAATGATGAATAAATTGCACAGAATGGTTTCATACCTTCTGTGGCTAAACCAGCTGCGAAAGTAACAGCATGTTGCTCTGCAATACCCACATCGAAACAGCGATCTGGAAACTTTTTCTGGAAATAATTGAGGCCAGTCCCTCCACCCATTGCTGCATGGATTCCTACAATCCTGTTATCTACCTCGGCTTCTTTTATCAGTGATTCGGCGAAGTACCGAGTATATGAAAGTGTAGAAGATTTCGGCTTAGATTGCTTTCCCGTGTGTGGATCGAACTTCACAACCCCTGAAAGAATGGGATATTAAGATTTTGCTTATAAAACTCTTTTAACTTTATTGGATTATAGGGTTGTTGCCTCACCATGCATTTTGTCAGCTGCAGCCTCAGCTGGGGGATACCCCTTTCCTTTCTCTGTCACAATGTGAATCAGAACTGGTCCTGGTGCAGGCATGGCTTTTACTTTTTCGAAAATGGTTACCAAGTCTTCAATATTGTGCCCATCTACTGGTCCAATGTAGTATAGTCCGAGCTCCTCAAACAGAGTAGACCCAGGAGCACTAAGCATACCCCTTGCATATTCATCTACTTTTGCTGCAACTTCGTGTGCTTGCGGTCCAATTTGCTTTGTGATACTCTTTCCACAGGTAAAATCAGAATCAGATCGCTTTCAATTTTATAAAAAGAGATGAGGAATTATAAGAGGCAGGTCACAAAAGGAAGGCTGAGAGAGGTTTACTTTTGCAGCTTCACGAAGTTTTCGGAACTTGGGGCTTGCCTGAAGCTTGCTCAAAGCACTGCTGAGGGCTCCAACAGGAGTTGCAGGGCCATCAAGAGTAGCAGTTGGTAAAGAGACCTGCTTATTGTCATTCAACACGACAATCAGGTTAGAATCAAGGAAACCTGCATTGTTCATGGCCTCATATGCTTGTCCTGCAGTCATGGCTCCATCCCCAATCACAGAAATTACATTGTTGTTCTTCCCTAAAAGATCTCTTGCCACTGCCATACCTACCAAAATTTGTTCGATACGAAGTAAGTTCAATATTTCTCTTCTTTGCCCTATGGAATAAATTGTATTTAGTGTTATCTAACACAAATAGAAGAAAAATGGGATAGATAGAACTATTAAACACATACCTAAACCAGCAGAGATGCTAGTAGAACTATGCCCTGCACCAAAAGCATCATATATACTCTCATCCCTCTTTGGAAACCCTGCTAGCCCTGAAGTTTTTCTAATGGTGTGCATCTTAGACCTCCTCCCTGTCAAAATTTTGTGGGGGTATGCCTGCAATAATATTGTTCTACTCAGCTGTAGTTATCTAGGAACTGTAAATTCATATTATTTTGCTTTTTTGGGACAGAAGTTTTACAGGGGCAAAGTTACTAAATAATTTGACATTATAACCCCATATTTCTCTTTATTCGCATATGTGACAACAGTTTTTTCACCTGATGACCAACATCCCATATGATTCTGTCATCAGGAGTGTTGAAAACATGATGCAGAGCCACAGCCAAATCCACTACTCCCAAGCTTGCACTTAAATGTCCACCTGTCTTTGCCACAGTGAATACAATATCTGCTCTAAGCTCTGCAGCTAGTTGTTCAAGATCCTGAAAGAACAAACACAAGAACCCAAAATAAGGCAAAGGAGGGAGGAGAAGAACAAAGAAAGAAACAATGCAAACTAGTAGGAAAGAGAAATTTTACTACACTCTAACAGAAGAAGGGTAAGTCTACTGTACCGAAGGTTTAAAATTACTTTAAAATAAGGGTGATGTTACGACTGAATTTAGTGATGTCATGATAAGTGGAGTTGTTTGGGATTGAGGATCCATCTCAACTTTTTGAGTTATAATTAGACCCCAAATGATTGGGACATAAGACTTGATTTGGTTGCTTGGTTGGTAACTGGACCTCAAAATGTAACTTTCCTTAGTCTTACCACAAAGAGAAACACATCAATACCTGTGTGGAGAGGTTCTTCATGTGGATTGGATAATTGATAGTATCCAGTAATGGCGTGGGTGGCTTTTCTCCGGAGAAATCAATCTTCCAACCATCTTTCCCTTTCCACATCATCATCTTCCCTTCCTCACCATCTGAACCAGTAGCAGAAGCTCTCACACAGAACTGGAGCACATACACCATTACACCATTACACCATTACAAAGTTTACAAAGAAAATTATGTTTTATCCTTGAAACAGAGAAATAGCATCATGGANCCTCACCATCTGAACCAGTAGCAGAAGCTCTCACACAGAACTGGAGCACATACACCAACAACCATTACACCATTACAAGAAGTTCAAAGTTTACAAAGAAAATTATGTTTTATCCTTGAAACAGAGAAATAGCATCATGGATCTCTCTCTCTCTCTCTCTCTCCCCCCTTCTTTGTTTTTGATCTGGGTGAATGGCATCATTCTCAGAAAAGCAATGATAATGAAACCTGGATGACAAGAACAAAAAACTTAATTGGAAATGAAGGATTTGTATGAACTGACCTGTTTTCTTGCACTATGTTGAAGCTTTGGAGCTGTGAGGCATGGGGAGATAGATGGGTTCAACCCAATGATAGACCCTGAAACCGCCATGGCTGAAGGAATCTGTTCAGAGCTGAGTGTGTGTGTGTATGTGAGAGAGAGAGAGAGAGAGGGCTGTCAAGTGTTAGAAGTTAACAACAGAGACAACATTTATAATCAGCTGAGGGCGGCTTACCTGGCACAAAATAGCTGGATATCCAATTTCGCTTAAGATTTGATGAGAAAAATGATTATTTTTGAGGAAACAATGAATTTAAAAAATAGATTCCATAATTATAATCGTTCATTAATTTTACTGTAAGTCCTAATATTATTTGATACCCATTATCTATTTAATGATTAAAATTATCAAATTTAATTTTTAAGTCTATTTAATATTA